AAAAAAAAAGTTGCTAATGTCCGCCCCTAAATTTAAAGATTATGTTGAGAGGGTTCTGGAAAAATTTTTTTTTTTTTTTTAACCCTCCGAAATACAGCCGAAATGGTTTTTTCGTTGTAACTTGGTTATTTGACGGCCGATTTTTAAAATTGATATGTCATTATTTTTGTCTTGAGAAGCTTCACTTTTCGTTCTTATGTCTTTTTAAGCTTTGAAGTCGCGTTCGCATGATAAGGGCAGAAACAAAATTTTACCCCCCCTAAAGTATATTTTTTTCCTTACCAAACGAAAGTACTTAAAAATTCAAGAAAATGTTGCCTTCAAACTATATTACTAAAATAATAAACAAAGGAGTTATAGCACTTTTAATATCACAGGTCAACATGAGTTTCAGATGTAAGTATAATAACACAGTACAACAAAAATTTATTTTTTTTATGCAACAGAGTAACCTAAATTTAAGGATTATGTTGAGAGGATTTCGAAATTTTTATTTTATTTTTTTTTTTAACCCTTCGAAATACAGCCGAAAAGGTTTTTTCGTTGAAAGTTGGGTATTTGACGGCCGATTTTTAAAATTAACATGTCATCACATTTCCTTTTAAGCTATGAAGTCGTTTACCCATGGTTAGGTCAGCTAACAAAATTCGCCCCCACAAATTCCTCCAACAGTTTTCTTAGTTGGAAATTTAATCTCACTGCTTTCGTACCAATTTAGGTACATTTTTGCTACGATTTTTCCCAAATTCATACTCTTTGTTTTCGTCGCATCAGCAACCCGGGGAGTGCCCGGGGAGTGGACTTAAATCGACAATGTGATTGCCCTAGTGCAAGTAGAGTTCCAACCGCGGTAAATGACTTTCTTTATGATCAATGCGGGCCAAGGCTTTTGTCATTAGATAGTGGGCTTGATCATACTAGAACTGACAATTGCTCGCTAGAATGTAATGTTGAAAATCACACTGAAACCGCTGCAAGTTCGATTGGTTATGTGCCTAGCTCAAGTGAAGACGATGAAGCAAGTGAAGAAGTCACACAAAGTTTAAAAGTATCTGATTTGTCCTTAAAAAATTATTGCTCGGCGTTAGATAGGACGGATACTTCAGATCGCTTTGGATCATTGCTTGCTACAATGCTAATAAAAGATTTGCAAGCTGCGATTGCTACAAAAGTAAAAAAAGGATTTTAAAGAAAACACAGCGGATAAAATTATGAAATATTTTGATTATCTGGTCATTGACAAAAATAAAATTTCACGCGAGCGTAACAAATGTAGAGCACAAACTGAAGCAGCAACAAAAACTGGCACTGATCTTAAATGCATTTCGTATGATGGTAAACAGGACGTAACACTAAAAAAAAAATAGTTCACGGTAGCGTAAGAACAATGCTTCTAAGAGAGGAGCATATTACAATTTTGAAAGAGCCTGATTCGAAATTTATTGGATACGTATCTCCAAAAGAAGGCACTGGGGAAGCAATCCAGCAAGCAATAGTAAGCTTTTTGAATACCCAAAAATATTGCTTAAACGAACTTGTAGCTATAAGCTGTGATGGTACAGCTGTCAATACTGGATATAAAATTGGAGTAAATGCACAAATGGAACGTTATTTACAAAGGCCCTTGCAGTGGAATGTGTGTTTGTTACATTTCAACGAGTTGCCTCTAAAAAAGTTGTTAACGCATTATATTGGCAAGCAGAAAGGACCTGGTGTTTGGCCAGGGGTGTTGGGGTCTGAAATTATGACTTGCACCAAATACCCGGTAGGTTGTCCACACTATAATAGTTAATGTTATAAACAAAAACATATATTTTCCTTATCAGGTTGTAAGTGGTTTTGAGGCTATTGCTATGGGAGTTATTCCTGAAAATATTGGCTCTTGGGAATTACGCAATGATCAGCGTTATTTATTTGATATGGTTTTGGCAGTAAATAATGGTATTTGCTGGATACGCGAACTATCAAATGCTGTTCAAGCCATTATACGTTCAGCTATAGAAAATAATGCATATTATTTTCACCCAGAAAATATATTATTAGCCATGATAACCGACGCTGATCCAGAGATACGTAATGATGGGTACGAAAAAATCAAAACAGCACGTCAATATCCACCAGCAGGGCTTCGCGTGTTCAAGGTCCCAAAGCGTGGCGTAATAAACTTTGAAAGTAAGTCGTATGTCAGCATGATCGATTGGAGTCAGTTTAAGATTACGGAACCCCCTTGTGTGCAGTTCTACCCAGATAGTGAACTTACAATGTTTCAATTTTCGGAAAATGAAGTGATAAATATCCCAGGTAAATATCTTCAAACTAAAAACTTCACGGGTCTTATAGTACTTTTAAATCATTTTTTTTTAGAGTTCCTCTGTCATTCCCAGAATACCGAACGGTTTGTGCGTGTTGTTAGTGAGTCTGCAAGTGCTGTCACTGATGAAAAGCGCCTGGGCCACATTTTTGCAAAATTAGAAAGCCGAGACCAATATAAAAGCCTTGATTAGCGCCAAAATTTGCTTAAGTAGCAATAAATATTGTAAGTGAAATAACTTTTTTGTTGATTATTTTAGTAATATAGTTTGAAGGCAACATTTTCTTGAATTTTTAAGGACTTTCGTTTGGTAAGGAAAAAAATATGCTTTAGGGGGGGTAAAATTTTGTTTCTGCCCTTATCATGCGAACGCGACTTCAAAGCTTAAAAAGACATAAGAACGAAAAGTGAAGCTTCTCAAGACAAAAATAATGACATATCAATTTTAAAAATCGGCCGTCAAATAACCAAGTTACAACGAAAAAACCATTTCGGCTGTATTTCGGAGGGTTAAAAAAAAAAAAAAAATTTTTCCAGAACCCTCTCAACATAATCTTTAAATTTAGGGGCGGACATTAGCAACTTTTTTTTTTTGTATGGGGACCGACCCAGTCTAATGTGCATAGTCGCTCAAGCAAACGCATAGACAACTTTTCTGACGCTGCCTTTTTTGTGTGTTTTTCATTTTCATTTCTAAATTTAGGCATTCACAATAAAGCTTTAGCTTTTATAAATTAATTAAAATGCATTTTAAACGGTATTTGAATAATTTTACACTAAGATTGACAGTAATGAGCGGCGCTGCGTTTGGGGAATGCTAATTGTTGAAAATGATAAATATATTTTCGTCTTTGCGAAAGTATTTTAGCCAACTAATGTGGACTAGAATTTCTAATCTCATATTTTTACGAGGTCCTGTCGGTAAGTATCTGTATAAAGAGCAAAAGTACCCTTGTTTGATAACAAGCGATACTTCATTTTGTTCTCGTTCAAGAAGGCAGAACATACGGCGCTTATTGAAAATGATAAATGAGCTGTTGAGTGCTTTAATATCAATTTAAAGAAATCTTACGTTAAGAAGTCGCCTTGCCTCTTTTATCGTCAAACGACAGCCATAAGAGTTCCAAACTCAGACATCAGCGCATAAAGGCAATTGCTTTTCGCTTTCCAAAGCTGCTTGA